TATTATGTTGTGATGATGTTGTTTGTACTGTTCTTTAATTTTATTAAAGAGGGCCCCTGAATATCAGTTAACCTACTAGGCTAAACTAGAAGGGTTACCTCTTTAAAGATGGTTGAAAAAAAAAAAAAAAATATACCCATTCTGACCCAAGACCCCTGTTACGCGCCTGGTGTTAGCGCCAATGTGTGCCCTTGTGCAGACAGGGGATGTGACCCCCTCTGAAACTGGAAACCTTGTTTTTGCAAAATAAATTGATGCAATTTACTATTATAGGCCTAATCAATAAATTCCTCATCAACCGATACAACCTTGGAATTGACATAACATTACCGATGTCGTACACACCCTTCAGTTTGAAATGTGGCTCTCTTTGCAAGCACATCTAACATCTAAGGAAAGAAGAGCTTAGATTGGTACCAGATAAAATAATTTTGTTATCAACATTAATACATTATGCTAATCTTTGTAAGCGCATAAGACAGTGCAAATTATTCTGTGACAGTCATTTGAAGTGTGTAAAGCTCCATTTTATCCACATAGTCAAATTATTGGGGGATGATACAATGGACCCCCCCCCCCCCCTTGTCATATATTTGGGGGATATATCTCCCCCATCCCCCGGGATCTACGCCTATGCATTCAAGCTTTCCAAAAAGCATCAACTAACGTCTGGACAAATTCTACTCGTTTCCGAGGGTTTTTCGTTTCACAAAATGGACCTTGTGGAACTCGACTTGATGATCTCCCAAGAATAATGTCATTTGGACAGATATAAGTTCCATCGTCCGGGTCAGTTGGCTTTCTTCCGATTGGTTTCTCATTTATCAGGTTAGAAACCTTTTTTAAGTATGTATACAGTTCGAGTGGCGTTAGGAGTTGGCTACCTACAGATTCCTTTAGTGCATGTTTGTAGCTTTTAACAAGCACTTCCGCACAACCATTATGATGCGGTGCATGTGAAGTGGTGAATCTCCAAGTGATTTGTCGTTCAGCACAGTACTCCTTTAACTTATGTATGTCCCATCGGGCAATCATCTCTCTCAATTCACGTTCTGCTCCAACAAACTGGGTACCGCTGTCGCTTTGCAGGAGTTTTGCTCTTCCACGCATAGCACAGAATCGCCGTAAGACCTGGACGTATTCTTGTGTTGAGCAGTCAACTGCAATTTCTAGGTGGACAGCACGAGTAACCAAACATGTAAAAATTACACCATAATGTTTGGCCGTCTTGTTTCTGCTAACTTTCACATGATACGGACCAAAGTAGTCGCAAGAGGTGTATTGAAAGGGTGGTGAAAATGGTGTCACTCGTTCAACTGGCAATTCAACCTTAATCTGGTTCTCGGTCTTATGGTCAAACATTCTACATGTAGTGCATCTGAATTTGATTGTCTTCGCAAGAGCAGTTCCCTGAACTATCCAGAATCTCTGTCTAACATTTGCGGATGTCGTGGCAAGGCCATAGTGCCCAGTTTCACGAATGTGTCCAGTGATTAAGTACGATATTGGATGATTTCTTGGAAGCAATGCTGGATAAGATTGATCATATGACAGTCTCTTGTTACATGTACGACCTCCTACATATATTACATCATTCATCTTAAATGGACTTAATGAATTGTAGTCTCTCAGCTCCTTCAGAGATTTTTGAGCTTCAATTACCCAATGTCGTTCAGCTACCATAAGTTCATGTTTAGACAACGGGCCATCATCTACGCAGCATTTTGCTTTGGAATTAGTGATGAAACGGAAGACATATGCAATAACTCTTACCAGTCTTCGCCAGCTAGAGTATTTAGTGACATCTATGGGCTTTTCACGTTCTTGGATGAGCATTACTGTCTTGACTCTTTTCTTCTCAACGTCAACTGCTTGCTCATCTGCTTTCGGTATCGACCTTGGCCATTCACCAACAGATAGCTTAAGAAATGGAGGACCGTCCTTTCAATCGCCTTCTAAATCTTCCACACTTACGCCTCTAGATATCTTGTCGGCAATGTTGAACTCGCCAGGAATGTTTTTCCATTCTGAAGAGTCAGTAGAGCTTTGAATTTCGGTACCTCTGTTGGCGACGAATGGTTTGTACTGACGAGATTGCCCTCTAATCCAAGACAAAGCAATAATAGAGTCAGACAGAAAAACAGGTTTTTCAAACTTCACCGTCATTTTTAGAATACGATAATAGTCTTGTTGCTAATATGGCTGCTTGAAGTTCGAGTTTTGGAATACTCAAAGTTTTCAGCGGTGCAACATGTGACTTAGCAGTTAGGAATCTCACACCAACCAAACCATCAGACACTACCCATCTTGTGTAACAGACAGCACCGAAGGCAGTTTCTGGGGCATCACAAAATATGATCAGCTGTAAGGCTTCGGCATCTGGTTCAGAAATTATGCATCGTTGGTATGTAACGCCATGCAGGCTCTTTATTTCTTTAAAGAACTTCAACCAGCTGCATTAATATCTTTGCTCTGATCAGGAATGCACCTGCAAATCCTATGGGATCGAATATCTTTGGTATCTCACTTAATACGGTTCTCTTCGTCAGTTTACCAGTAACATTCTGTTCGATCTTGTACTTTAGCATATCTGTTCTGGGCTCCCATACAACACACGGTACTTTCTGCTCATCACTATTCGCCATAATAGTTTGCTCTGTGGTGTCTTGATTGCCGAGATTGGAGTTTGAAACCCACTTCTTCACCTGAAATTTTGCTATCATGGTCTATCTGTTTAGTCAGCATTACAGCAGTCGCTTCATCTTTCACCGATGTACAGATACCATCCATGTAGGTGTCATGTTGTATGATCTTTGCAGCTTGTGGGTACTCAGTTTTGTTTTCTTCAGCAGTTCTCAATAGTGCAGTAATGACCATAGATGGTGCTGGTTTGTCTCCTGGAGTCACAATGGTAAGTATATATGTGTCTGGTGATCGTTGCTAGAAATTCCTCCACATGAACCTGTGCACGTGCATATCACTAAGTGGGATCCTTACACGATAAAACATCTTGCTTATATCTTCTGCGATGGCAACCTTGAACTCCTTGAACCTCATTATCACACCCATTAGATTCTGTAGTAAATCTGGTCCCTTACACCAGTGGTTGTTCAATGACGATCCTTCACAGACGCTTGATGAATTAAAAACTATTCTGATTGGTGTGCTAGCCCTCTCTGGTCTCACAACGGCATGATGTGGTATGTAGTGAACTGGACCATGGTAATTTTTCTTTTCTTCGTATGTGAGCTTCTTGGCAAAACCTTTATCTACAAGATCGTGAATTGCTTTGTTGTACTGGTCAGCATTGCTAGGTGTTTTCTGAAGACGCTTCTCAAGAGAGCATAGCTTTGCAAAGCACTGTCTTTCATTGTTACACAGGTTTTCAGGAGACTTCACCCAAGGATATGGCACAACCCAGTGCCTATCACTGTCTTTCTTGCATGAGTCCCACATCTCTGTGAACCTCTTTTTCTCATCTGGACTTGAGGTTGAATCCTTTCCATTACAGTTACACTCACATTTTACCCCCATCTCTTCAGTCGACCAGAATTTGGAGATATCAACTGGTTCAGCCAGCTTTAGAAGAAGCACAGGATTATGCTGTTGCCTAGTAGAGTTCGTGTTTGTACCGAACAAAACCCATCCAAGAGAAGATTTTCTAGATACATAATTACCCATCTCAACACATAGCATAATTGATCCCTACCAATATATCTACAGTTCCACTACCTCTGTGAATCGACTCACCAAGTTTACACTCCACCTCCTTTCGTAGCTTATCCCCAATCTTTGGTACATCAGTGATGCTCCGCGGCACTCCAATTGCAGTAAGTGTGTGAAGACTTCCTTCCTGCGATGCTAAAGTAACACTATAAGCACGTGTGTGAAGCAAAAACTTCTCGAAACCAAGTGTAGTAATTCCTACAGTTAACGGCTTACTAGCAAATCTGCATTCTTTCGCTAGATCATCTCGTATAAGTGTTAAAGTAGCACAGTTGTCAAATAGAATGTTTGAATCTCTACCAGAGATCGCAGTGAATCATCGGCATGACAATGTCTGCTTCAGTTGCATTGAAATCTAATGTCATCAGTTGTTGGGTTTGAGTGTTTAGATGTAGAGTGACCCTTTCCTGCTCTCTTGAAACAGCTGAAGCACACACGACTCTCCTTAGCTCGTTTCAGTCTTTCATTCGGGGTCAGTCCCAGTAGCACTCGGCATTGGTCTGGCCAATGTTCGTCGGTTTCGCATCCCCAACATTTCTTCCATTTGGAAAATGTTCTGCTCTCTGTGATGACATTGGCATCAGTTTGGAAGACGTGTCCAGTAGTTTCCCATTCTGCTTTGATGGTTTATATACCTCCGCAGCAGTTCCATATACCGGATCATTTATCTCGCATGAAGATGACCTTACAAACTTTTCAACATCCTTGAGGGATGGAACCTTGTCGCTTTCTCTCAGCTTAAACGCCTCACGTGTCCAACGTTGTTGCAGAAACTTGGGTAACTTTTCAATGATTAATTTTAAGCTTCCCTGGTTGTTCAACTCATGCAAGTAGCCAAGAGCATCTAGTGCTTGATAGCAGTTTGTCAAATCGTCAGCAAAACTCTCAAGTTTTGATGCATCCAATTTCGGTCATGATATAATTTTCTGGATCCATGCTTGAACAATTACAGCACTATTTCTAAACAGTTGCTTGAGTGTCGTTAACGCAGCCTTCAATTCCTCTGCTGGTGGTTTGAGAATGCAGAATTCTAAGGCTCGACCACAGCATAATGATCTAAGAACGTTAAGCTTAACACTAGAGTCAGTAATACATGATACACTATTATTAAAGGAAGCCATAAATGTATAATAAAACAATGGATCACCATCAAATTTCTTTACATATGCTTTGGGTAATGCCATAGCTTGTACCATACTCAAGATAGAATTTTCATTAGCATTAATATTTACAGTAGATCCTAAATCAGACACATTAACTTTGATAGTATTATTTACAGCATCATCTTTACCCTTTTGGGTTTCAACATCAGTTATTGATTCATTAACTGAACCGTCAATTACAGAATCACTAGGATTTACATTAGCAGTAGCTGCAATATGAACAGCCTGAACAGGGCTTGTTTCTGACATTTGATTAACAATTGGCTTAATCGGGGTCTTACCGACTTCACCTAAGATCTTTCTTGCTAATCGGGTAACCTTGTTATAATCATTAACGACAACACCAAGCTATTCTTATTCTTTTAATGATTTTGTCTTCTTCCATGATGGTATCTACTAGTGCATCGTGAGCATCCTCGACAGCATCGAATCGGGCTTTTGCTCTTTCCAGTAGCAGGCGAATCTGTTCCGCTACTACCTCTTTTTCCTTCATTTCAGCATGTAGTTCATTTAAAGCGATGGTCAGCTTCCCCTTACGTACAGCTCTATTTTTCTTCAATACAGTTCGATCCTGCACCTCCATATTTGTAGTTGGTTCCGACATCAAATAAGTTAAAATTGAATTATGTTGAGGTGAAGGATTGACAAGAAGGCGGCGAGATAGTATTGAGATAAAAAAAAAAGTTTTATTTAATTCTGCAAAGAATAAAATCAGGAAATAAAACAAATTCAATAACCAATAACCCGTAAAATACATCAACAATTAAAATTAAGCAGAGTACATGAAATCATACAAAAGGCAAAACCAGTGAAATTAAATCAGCAAGTAGGCCTATCAATGATGGAATAAATAATCAGAATGATTAAAAAATAATACAAGCATGTGACATTATGTAAACTGTAATACCAGTGAAAACATTATGATAATGTATGATACAAATGCATATGTATAAAAATCATAACACAGTAAATAAGATTAAAATTACATGTCAAAATTCATTAGTCATAATAATAATTTACGACTTATCTCTCCCAACAATACATTAAACCAGAACAGTACATCAGTTCAGTATTATCATCAGTAAAAACATGATATCATCATAACGATAATCATAAACATCGGATATGGTTTTTAAACTGTAAAACCCAGTAAATTACTTAGAGAAAGATGTGCACAATGAATTCAGCAGCAGATCCGAAATACCCACGAAAATCTAGAGCCCTTATAAGTATAGATAAAAGTAAAGTGTGCTCAATGAACAAATAGTTTCTAAACGAAACAGTAATGTTTATAAATTAATCTTAGACACTTGTTTAACATTATATATAATATAAGCTTGACATAAAATGAAAATATTGAGAAAGTATCTTGGCAATATACAATTTGAGAAAAAATACGGTAATTAAGTCAAAGCAAGTCGGCATACGTCTATAAAGGATTAATGATAATTTACAAATAAACAGTGATAAGGGTGAACAATGAATGAGCAAGTGG